GAAGAAAAGGCAAAACAAATTTTATTTGATCATAGTTTTATGTGACATGAGAGCCTTAAGAATGAAAACCCAAAGATATAGGGAAAATTGTCCATATGTATGCTTAGATTCTGTGAAGCAGGTGTACCCCTGAAGAAATGTGATTGGACAAGAAACGTATGATCTAATGCTAGTAGACTGAGGGGGGAAATCCAGTAAGGCCTGTTTGCTCAGATTCTTCTTGGTCTCTCTGTGTAGCATTCATTCCCCCAGAGTATGGGGAGGACCCTTTCTGGAATGGGGTCTTATCACCTACAATGAGACGAGGTAGGTCAGAGAATTTCTTTATGGCTAGCTCCAATACAGAAAGGCAGGGGGGAAGATTAGAGTTTATCTATGACCTGCCTTGGGAAAGAGGGTTCTAGATTCTATCACTTGCCTCAGGAAAATGAGGCTGAGAGACAGGAGAGCAGGAAATGGTCAGAGGAAAACTTTGCTTTTGAAGCTGTTCTGAGGCCTTCACTTCAGGGTATTGCTTTCTGAGCCGCAACATAAGCAAAACTGAAAGCAAATATGTTAGGGTGAGATTACAGGTGTTATTTTTTTTTTTAAAAAAAGTCTTTATATTGTTGCAACATAATTTTTACAATTACTATGACTTTATTTATTGAATTCAATTCCCTCAATTCTTAAGTAAAATAAAGTGAGTTTCAAAGAGACTGAGAGCTGCCAAAAGTTACAGTAAAAACAACTGAAGGGTAAGAACCACAATCCAAAACACTTGACTTCTAGCCCACACTGGAAGTGTCTCAAAAACAACAAATTAAAAACTTTTGGAGGTAACAACACTTTTCTTCTGGAGAGATTAATATAAATAAGACATTATAGGAAAAACAGATGTTATTTAAAGTTACTGATATAAAGATTTCTATTTTCAAAGAGCCACTAAATAAGTACTGCGTAAAATTAGAATTTAAAGCAACAAATACACCACGGTCTTTCTCTTCTGATTTTGTTTATTTTGAAAAAGAATGAAAATACATCTATAACCATAGCAGTTTTTAAACTACCATTATTAAATTAATTGAACTATAGTCCATAACAGTATCAGTGCCTTAAGAAGTGTCTGTAATAATGTTAGTAGAGCTGCCACACTTTCCATCTTATCCACCTAACTTATCATTTGTATATGAGTACCTACTATGAGTAAGGGACTTTGGAAGAGACAGTGGAGAGATACAAGGATGAATCCATCCAGAATTCAATAACAAAGAAAAGATACATATTCAAATTAATGTAATGCATGGTTTCAAGTCTGAAATAACATTTAAGCTGGTGCTTAAAGATAGGTAGGATATGTGGAAGCAGGGTTAAAAGGAAGTGATATTTTTAAAGAGAGAATAGTATGAGCTGAGGCAGAAAAGTAGAAAGTTCCTAGGATGTATAGCGAACACAAGTTACCCTCCTGGTGGCATACAGGGTGCTGTGAGGGGGTAAGTGGGAAATAAAGCTTGTAAGGCCAGAGAATTAGAGAATTGAAGCTTGAATGCCAGGAATTTTGGACTTATTAACAGGGAATGAGAACTTCAAATAACTCAAAATAAAAGTGTAATGACTGGTCTAGAAATACAAAGCCATAACAGGAAATCTGGGAGAAAACATCTGATCATTTATATAACAATAAGCTCAAGTTACTAAAAAAAAAAAAAAAAAAAAGTTCTGAACTGTTGTAGATGTTTCAGATCAAACAGTGATTCTAAGAAAACTTTTATAGTATGTTCAATCACTGAAGCATATTGATATTTAAAAACACAGCCAAGTGGTTTGCCTCATAACTTAAAAACATTTTTTTTTAAAGAACCACAGAATTATGAGTCAATGTCTACATTTTCCACAGGTTTCGAATGTGGAAATAAATATATGTATAATTCTCTAAAGTAGAATACTAGATCTTTCTCAAGGATTATAATGATGATCTAGGCCAGGCAGAAGGAAATCTATGTGGAAAAGAAGAATGGAACAATTTGAAGAGTAAAAGAACAGGAAAGGGACTAGTGCCTTTCAAAACCTCTAGATCGGTTCCCAAGCTGTAGGTCTTTAACTGGTAAAGGTGATAGTTAAGGGGAAGTGGCAAAGGATAACGGCACATAATTTGCAGTTGCAGAGATGATTACAAGCATTCATAAGACACACTGGTGGTAGTAGAAAGAGAAGAGGGTGTGGAATTAAGCCGGCTTGAATTAGAATGCTAGTTATGTGAACTTGAACACATTTCTTGACTTCCTATAATTCACTTTCTTATTCTATAAAATGAGGATAACAAATATTTACCTTATAGGCAAGGATTAGAAAGAGCATAGTAAAGTAGTTGGTGAATATTCAATAAATAATAGCTCTTTGGTAAAACCCTTTACTAAGATCCTACTGTATGTCTACCGCTGTGAGTCTGTGGTTTTTAATCCTTGGCAGACTACGGAGGGTGATGAATTGCACTTAGAAAGGTGATCAGGGAGCACTTCAAAGCCCCCAGTTCGAAATTATTTTCTCATGCTTGTCTTTCTCTCTCCCTCCCCCTCCCTCCCTCCCTCCCCCCCCCCCCCCCCCCTCTCTCTTCTCCCACTTATGAGTGAGGACATGCAGTATTT